TAATAATAATAATAATAATAATAATAATAATAATAATAATAATACTCTGACACTGGTAGTGGGCCAAGATCATTCACTGCAAGTGAGTGCAGTTACTTCTCCTGAGGGGAGCGGGGCATTCAGCTCTCTCTTCCAGTATCACCCCCCACCCAACATCTGCAGTCTGATGCACTTGCCTTGTTCTGCTTAATGATGGCACTGCGCCCCAGTGTCTCCTTCATTAAAAAACAAAAACAACGTGCTTATCCCTTTATCAAACATTTATTGACTCCAATTAGCAACAATTAGCCCATTGACTGTCTTAGCCTCTCAGCTTGGGAATCCCAAGAGGAGTGAACTTTTCACCTTGGGTTAAAGTTTTACTTGGGACAGAGAAAGATAAGCATTGTCTTGTTAGTCAAATACATTTTGTTTCCATGTGAAAACTGCCTGACTGACAGTATGGATGGGCAGTTGGGGGTTCAAAGAAACAGCAGCTGCCATAATACAGGAGAGTTCCTTGAATCTCTTACATTGACTCTGATCCATATGGAACTTGCTGGAAGGACCCATCTCTGCACAGGTTCAACATACCATTGAAAGTACCAGCTTGGCTGCAGCCTTTGGACATTGCTGAGCTTTTATCATGATGGTGAGTCAGCGACCCTTTAAAAAGTGGGAAATTCTTGTCTGTTCCAAAAGACACCAACAAAACTGCTGCCAGCCAGCCCAGACTAGGTTAATACTAATAACCCAGAAGAACAAGTGAAGTTTGTAATTTGTAGATAAATATATCGACCATAGTTATGCCAGCTTTGGTTAATGAGAAATATGCATTTGCAAAATATGTGTGTGGCTCTCCAATTTTGCAAATCTTGGAGAGTTACATGATCCAGCCAACATGAAACTTGTTTGATTCTAGAACTGTAAGATAGTTGAGTTGGAAGGGGCCAATAAGACCATCAGGTCCCAGCTCCTGCTCAGTGCAGGATGAAAGCAACCCTAATTGATGGCTGTCCAGCTGCATCTTGAATCTTTCAATGTGGAAGAGCCCAGGACACATCCATGCAGAAGTCCCTCTGAATTCATCAATATCCCCTGGAAAGGTGATAAACTATTGCAGGCAAACCTACAATCTTATACCCAATTGCCAAGGAAAAAGCCCTATTTTTTCTTGTAAGTGGAACTATTTCCACTTACCACTTACAAGGGAACAAAATCCATCAAACTTTATGAGGCTTACTTATGTGTAGACATTTTCTGAATTGCATTGCAGAAGCTGCATTGATTTCAGTGGGACTTAAAAAATGAATAACTTTAGCAGAATTGTGCTCACAGCATACAATGTATGCACTGGTGTTACTTGAAAGCTATTGCTGATAGACTAGCAGCCCCAATCCCACCCAAGCCATTGGGTGGACCCAAACAAAATACTGTTCTCTTAGCCTCAGCCACCTACATTCTGGGGATAATAATCTAAGGTACTGATCTACCTTAGAGGGCTGTTGTATGGATTACGTGAAATACTTTGAGCACCTTGAAATTTGCCAGACTTTGGTGCATGAACCAAAGCTATATTTTGGTCCATGAGCTCCATTCCAAGGATCTAGAGAAAGGTTGTAGAACAGTTCAGAATATCAGTACTTGGCCCCCTTCACTTGATTGATTGATTCCTTTTTCTGATAATGGAGAGTGAGGCCACTTTGAGACAAAATGGATTATCAGACAGGATAACAAGGCCATCCCATGATTTGCATGATATGGCACTGAGTTTGATGATATCCTGTGCTGAGCTACAATATGTTATTAAAGTATGTGAAAAGTTTATTGAGTAGTCAGCCAAGACCTCCAGCAATTTTCAAGCAGTCTGCAAATTGGGAAAATTGAGAACTGCTGCTCCAGACCATGACAGGAATATCTGCTGTGTTCAGATTTGAGTTCAACTGCTTTGAAGAAAACTGCTTTGGTTGGAAATGACTGAGGGAATAGTGAAGTGATATCTTTATTACACTAGGACAATATTGAAAATGACAAAAGCAAGTTGTCTAATACCACAGAGATCTTCTAGTGTTCAGTTCTTTAACAAAAAGATGCTTCATACATTCATATTTAGAGCAATGCTAGTCTAGTAGCATCGAGTGTTCCTTATAACACAAGAAGCACAGTTTATTAGATTCAGGTAAAATTATAATCATAATTAGATATTCTATTACATTGATTATAGCATATCATGGACTTGGGGTGGGGGAATCAGTGTCCAAATTATTCTGCAGTCTCCCTTGTCATGTCCAAAGGCTGCAGGATTGTGCCCTGGATAGTGTTATGATTGCAATTATTTTTACTGCATGAAGTAATTGTATGCATACATTTTAAAAGCCTTTGATGTTTTTGCTCTGTTACCTGGATGTTCATTCTGGACTGACAAGCTGTGGATGGGGTGTTCTTGTTTTTGAATAAAAGAATTACAGAGTTTTGTAATCTCTGGTTTCTTGGGTCATCACACTGATGGGTTTCTCCATCCTTAATGTCAAAAATAGGATACATTTTCTGCAAGGATCCAATTCACTGTGGTGGGTTTATCAATGCAAATGCTCCTTTGACCTTTGCTTCTTTTCTATTTAAACAATTGGTGGCGAGCAGAGCAGGCAAATGCTACAGAATGTTTGGTTTTTCATTAACACTGAGGTGATTAATTCTATCTTCACTGGCCACAAATAAGCTCCTCACAACCCTCCCATCCTGCAGATCACTCCCTGCCCCTCCTCCTGGGATGGATGGGTTATACACTTAATAAGAACAACTATACCTTTCTTTTACTCTAACAAGCATAGTAAAGACAAAAGACATCTTACCTTGCACAGGCTCCTTTTGACAAGCAGCTGGAAAGTTCTTAGCTACATTGATTAACTGGGGTAGACGAGACTGATGGAGAAAAAAGCTAAACATCAAATAATTAAGGTAAAATTGATTCCTAGATAATATATCAGACTGCAATTGGTATATCTGAATTGGTTGATTGTTCCTGCAGTGCAAGCGTATGACTGCTCACTAAGAACTAAATCCCACTGGAGCTTTCTTCTGGGGAAGTAGGTAAAGGATGGCAACCATACAATGCATCTACTGAGAAGTATGTCATGTGGAGCTCAAAAGGACCGTGTGTATTTAGGATTGCAGACTTTACTGAGAGAATTCATCCTAATGGGAAAATAGAGGAAAAGAGTAAATACATATTTAAAGGGGAAACATTTGCTGTAATAAGGGTTTTCTGTTTTTGTCTCCAAGACTAAGAGCTTCAGAACTGGAAAGATCGTGCCTTTTCCTTGTCTATGGGAACTCTCTCCATAACTTATTTTGAATATCTTTGGATAAATATAAGATCTCAACAGATCTCAGAATAAGAAGGGCACATGTAGTGCATCTATCTGCCTGATCATTCTCATTCTGCTTAACACCACTGTGAATATTTTCATGCAGAACAATTTTATATTATTTGTTGCTTTTGATTAAGGAAACCTCAGTGTGACATTGATGGGTCCATTCAGCAATGTTTTGGACCTTCCATTTCTGTTTTAAAAAGTGACCTACTAATTTAAATTCAATGAGTTAACAATTTTAACAGCTTAATAATCCACCCCTCACTGCTAGTTCTATGGGTTAGGACGTGGTGACAGTTGTAGGTCAAAACATCTGGAGGGTCTCAATTGTCCATGCTGGGGCGGGGGGGGGGTGTCAACCCATTTCAGACCAGGTTGAACATGTTTGCCTCTATGTATTATTTCACATCAACTATTTTTATATTGGCTTCATATTGTATTTCATGTATTTGCTTTGTAAATTGCTTTAGGGCTCTGAGGATATCCAGTGGTTTAGTAGTAGTTTAAACAGACAAAATCAGTCATCCAAAAATCCAACCCACCCTCTAACAGTAACTCCATCTTCCAGGGAAATGTAGGACCTTATTCTAAACATGCATAGCATTGTAGTATGCAAATGGAAGAAGCTGTGGGAAAGTAGAGGAATGTTATGAACGGAAAATGGCACTGAGTGGAGTTGGGCTGAGAATGAGTGGTCGTCTCATTTTCCTCATCTGAAATTTGGTCTGTCCTAAATGTTGAGGAACTCTTTTCTACTTTCAGTTTGGTTCATCCTGAACTTGGCAGGGGGCGGGGAGGGGGGATGCCTGGAGATTCATGATCAGCTGTTTTGATGCTCTGTTATCTTGGAATGGACCTCAGGACATTGTCCCAGGCTTGGCAGGGGATTAAACAAATTTGGAATTGAATTTGCAGGGCTGCTAAGAGAATTTCTGAGCAGGGATGGTAGGGATGATACCGCAATTCACCTAGATCTGTTGTTTTATTTATTTACAAGAGCATAGCAGGGCTGTCACAGATAGGGTGTTTTGGGGGACTTCATTCATAGGGTCACCATAAGCCAGAGATGACTTGATGGCACATAAGAACCAGAAGCCTGCTTACTTATTTCTGAACCTCTGTAACATGTGATCAGTCCCTAAATGAACGGATTACAATACAGATTATTTACAGAAGTTATGTGCCCGGTTACCTGGAGGATTTTCTTCTGAGAAAATGTGCACAGGGTTGTTCTGTATGGTGTTCAACATCTAGAGAAATAAGGAAACAGCTAAAACCTGGAGAATGTGTCAATTCAGCTTGTTCAGATTGTTGTTGTGGTAGTGGCAGTGATGGCTGAGCAACCCATTTAATCTCTTCCAAAGAGGATTTGGGTAAAAGCAGTTTTACTATGGCCTATTTTCAAAGGCATGTACATCTTAGTCTGTTGCAGTAAGATTGAACTGGTGCCTTAAAGACCCACATTTATGACAGCATCAGCTTTTGCTTTATGATGGCGTCATGGTGGTCCATGCCCATGCTGGCTGGGAAAGATGAGAATTGCAGCCCAACACATTTGGGGGACACCAGCTTGGGAAGGGCTCCTTTAAGAAGCTCGGAATTGTTCTTCTATGATGGTGGGAGTTAAGAATCCTTAGCAAAGAATACTCAGTCCCTCACCAACTCAGACTTTCCAGGATTCTGTGGGAGGAATCCCAACGGTAGAAGGATGGCAGTTAGTGAGGTATTAAACTGAACCCAGTTCATAATATACTTAGTAACTTAATATCATTTTGGAATCAGCTTTTTATAATGTATGCTTTTTTGTTGTAGTTAGTGTGATTCTGTGCGTTGTCCTAGTCTTGTGCTGCTAATTTCTCAGATCTTATGGGTGAGAGGATGGGCTGAAAAGAAATGGAGGGTTGGTTTTCTCACATCTTCTAAGGATGACTGGTTTGTCTAACCTCTTTCAGTTGAATCCAGATTTGGGCATATTTAGACTAGAGCCACTGAAATCAATTGGACTTGGATTATTCAGGAGGCCTGTCCCTGTTCTATGGGTCAAAACTTTGTAAACCATCCTGAGGCTTTTTCGCAATTAGGCCGGCATATAACTATTTTAAATAAATAAATAAATAAATAAATAAATAAATAAATAAATAAATAAATAAAACTACCATTGCTTCAATTCATATCTCCCTCTCCATGTCACGTTTTACTCTAGAATAGGTGCAGTGACACTTATTAAAATTTTCAGTACTTTTAAGGCTTTTAAGTTCTGAACCAGCTCCCTGTACCTTTTCTAGAGTAAAAATGAAAGAAGGCATAGCAGCTAGATACAGTAATGATTATTTTACCTTCTCAATATGTCTAAACCATAGGAAATAAGACAACCACATCCCTAAAATACATGGATTATATTAAATGATATATAAATATCTCAAACAAACAAATAAATAAACCTGGATCCAAAACCTTACACATTATACCCAGTAGGGTTCTGACATTTTCACTCAGAGCTGCTGTATTTCCTTTTTAAAGTCTCTAAATCACAGGAAAACAGTATGCTTTGCGGGGGTGGGGTCACTTTTTAACCTGTTCAGTTGCAGCAGACCAGTTATTCAGAACTGTCGTAGGACCAAAAAAGTAGGTTTTCGGCTGACTTACTATGATGGCTACAGGTTCTTGCATACATAATCATTTTGATTTTATATAAGGAATTGGAAAATGGGGCAGCCTTCTCCAATCTGGTGTCCTGGCACTGTATCAGGGAGCTGGCTGGGAATTGCTGTTCAAAACATCTGGGCAACACCGGTGTTGAGGAAACAACGGTATAGAACAGGGAGCTCTGGATTCAAAATCCTGCTCGGCCATGAAGCTTACCTAGGAAAATCACAGGTGTCCATACTGGTCCTTTAGGAAAACATATACAGTGGTACCTCGGTTCACGAACTTAATCCATTCACAACCCGAATTGGTCATGAGCCAAGTCAAATTTCCCCATAAGGTTCAATGTAAATAAGGTTAGTCTGTTCTGTAAATATTTTTTTAAATCACAAAAATTTGAAACAAAGTAACAAAGAATAACAAAGTACAGTACAGTAGAGAACTCTAACCTAGGTGTGGGGGAGGTTACTGTTTGTAGGGAGAGTCCAAACGATAATAGTGCAATAGCGATTGTGCTTGTGCAGGGAAGACGGGCGCAATCGTGTTTGTGTGGCCGCAATCGTGGTTGTCACCCAATGTGAAGTTTGCGAACTGAGGCAAAATCTTTCTGAAATTTCTGTTTGCAACCTGATTTGGTCATGAACTGAGGTGTTTGTGAGCCGAGGTACCACTGTATATAGCCGAAGCAAATGGAGTGTGTTATCTTGTGTAGATCCAACTAAAATGCATTGGCAATGTAGCTGGAACAAGAGATAATTGTAATGGTATCCCCCATCCTGCTGGTTTACAATACAAACCAAGGCGAAACACAAGCCTCAAGGTTTGACCTGTGTTGGGCAGTTTCTCTGGACGCGATGAGGGAAGAAGGGAATTTGTATCCCAGTCCACAGTTGTTCTGGTCAAGCCTAAGTCCCTTCTTCCCACAGTGCCAGCAGGACCTTGCCAGTGGAGCTGTTTGCTGGTATATTGGGAGACCTACAATGGAGTGTGTCATCCAACCTGTGGTACCAAATCCAAGCTGAGAGTTGGAAATCTGGAGCTTTGTGCCTCCCATTTATTGTCATGAGAAAACAGATAATGGCTATATATATATATATATATATATATATATATATATATATATCTGTTTGTTGGAATTGGATGACATTTGCAAATATAGTAGCCCTTCAAGGGAGAATTGCACTTGCCAAATTTCTGAAAATTAGGTGAAGTGGTTTCCGTGCTACCCTTACATTTCGCTTTTCCTCCCCTCCAAGGGAATTGCTACTGAATTCGTAGGGCAGAAGTGGATGAAATTTGCAGGGTGTTTCTCCTTTCTGATGGGAGAAATTTCATATGAATAGGTATTTTTGCAAGAACAGTCTTTACATTGTCTGGGTATTCAAAGCAGGGCATGCTTATGCCCCTGCTTTCCCTACTGGCCATTCCTTTTGTGCCCTGTGTGAATTGGGAGTCTTTTCAGCTGAAGTGTGGGACACAATGTCACCCAGAAAGCCATTTTGATGAATGGGTGGTGCAGAGATTAAATCAATCAATCAATCAATAAGTTAACAAAGAATATAGCAGCTTTACAATGTGTGAGTAGGTTGCTTACAGGCCTTTTCTGGAACTGCATGGAGCCATTAGATGGTGCCTATGGGTTGTCTCAAGGGACAAGAGTCGCATTTCTGGTTCCTCCCACTCCTCACATTTGCTGAATGCCCAGAAAGAGCTACAGTCACAAATCTGGCTTTAACAAACATATCTTGGTGAATACAACATTTACCTCACAAACTTAATCCGTTTCAGGACTCTGGTCTTGATCAAAACTGGTCATGAGCCAAGTCAAATTTCCCCATAAGGTTCAATGTAAATAAGGTTAATCCATTCTGTAAATATTTCTTTTAATCACAGAAGATGGTCACAATTGCGGGTGTGCTCGGGGGTGAGATGGACATGATCGTGTCCATCTTCTCCCCCCAGCACAACCACAATTGTGCCCGTGTTCCCTGTACAAGTGCGACTGCGATCGTGGCCATCTCCCCACCCCCCCGAGCACGATCACGGTTGCACTTGTGCAGGGAAGACAGCATGATTGCTCTCTTCACCTGATGCGGAGTTCATGACCTGAGGCAAAATTTTCCTGAAATTTCTGTTCACGACCCGATTTGGTCATGAACTGAGGTGTTTGTGAGCCGAGGTAACAATGTAATTGGCTCTGGAAGGAATTCCTCCAAACTAAAAAGAAAAAGTTACTTCTCCAATGTGGTGTCCACATGCACCAAAGTGTCTGTAGGCTTCTCCATAGTTGCTGCCAGATCCTCACACCTCCGAGCTTTTATATTATTTGTTCCCTTTCTTTTCCATCCCATAGTCAAAGTTCTCTTGGCAGTTCACAGCAGTTGATTTTGTTTTCTAAGATTTAAAAATAATGGCAACTGATATTCTGCAAAGCAAAGTGCTATTCCTATTCTCCGTCTTTTTTTGGATTCAAAAGAGTGGCTCTGTGTTTGGGAGTTCAGATCCCACCTCTCCTTGTACTCCAGTTCTTCGCCAAATTACTTTTCTGTTGCTCTCTGCAGTTTGTCTTCCTGGAAATAAGTGGTTTGTAGCCAGACAGGCTTGTCATGGTAGCCATCTTATGAATGGCCAAGAACTGCTCCCCAAGGCAGTCAGTTTGTGAAAGCACTCACAACAATAACTCAAAATGTGCCAAATTTGGGGGACCCCTAGGTTAATATCCTAGCTACGTGAGCTTCAGATTTAATAACCAGCACGTACTCTGTGTCTTAATAAGATCATGACTATGTTTAATGTTGAATGCTCTTGCTGTGAGTAGTTGCCTTATTTATGGTTATTTTGAATGCTGAGTGATTACTAATCCAGAGCAACATGGAAACAGCTGAAAGCAAGGAGCTGGAATGTAATATGTAGCAGGTCTCATCCATGCCAATCAACCCCCAGTTGGACCTCCATTGGCTGACACAATGACATTGGCCCTCATTTGTTGCCTTTTTTCGTAGGATGTCACATGCACCCTATTCTTCTCCGTCTTCAGTGCTGTCCTTGGGTTTTTCCAATTTGGATACTGCATTGGAGTCATCAATGCTCCACAAATGGCAAGTAAATGCACTTTTAAAACAATTGTTCACCGTATATGGTTCTTGATCCTTGGACCTAAGGCAGGATATTCCCAGAATGCCCAGATATTCCCAGAATGTTCCACTTTCCAAATGTTATTAGGTGACATAGTAGACAATGTCTGAATCACCCTAATATTAGCATGCTCTGGATGTAAATCACATCACAGTTTAGCATTACATACATAAGCCTTCCCTTCCCCACTTTGCCAGAGTCATTAACAACAGATTGAAACACTTCTGTTTCCAACAGTGTTTAGTTTTAGTTACAGTTTATCCATGTAGGTCAGAATTGTAAACTGGAGTTTGATGATGGCTTGTTTGGATATGCCATTTTTAAGACTAACCACAGTTTATTCTGGTTCAAAGAAAACAATGCTTAACTGATAATGGGAACAATTGCTTCCAATCTCCTCCTTGCAACAGTGCTAGAAAGAGGGGATGGGGGCATGAAGGTGAGATTCATATAGCCCTAAATAAGTATAGCTCTATCAACTATAACTTATGAATGTAAGAAAGCTTATGTGTACCATACAGGGACACTTATCAATGTGCCAGGATTGACTGAAGCTCCCCATTGACTGGATTCTTTGTGCCTACCATGTCCAAATTGGCCACTATATACTGTGTGAATAGCCCTTACTCTTTCAAACCATTGGTGGCTATTCAGAGAAAACAGAACAACTAATACCATTTTCGTTACTGCAGATTATTATGAACCACTATGGCAAGGTATTGGGCATTACAGAAGATGTAATGCAAAACCCTACAGTCATAATGCTCTGGTCCTTGTCGGTGGCTATGTTTGCTGTTGGTGGAATGGTTTCCTCCTTCACTGTTGGTTGGATTGGAGAAAAGATGCCAAGGTGAGAACAATCCATTTTAGTTTGCTTTCACAACTGGACAGAGAAATAAGTGTCACATTGTAGGACACTTGAAGATAAGTTGGCTAAGGGGGCTCATCACAATTTTCACCACCAACTCTAGTCACTGTACAGAAATTATTTTGAGGAGTCCATGAAGACACTGGCATTTGCAAAGTAGGCATATGGGAGTGGGCCTTTGATAATCAAACCCATGGAATCAAGTAAATACTTCCATTAAGGCCAACCACTGTTCATAACGCAGAATTACCGTACTTTTCGCTCTATAAGATGTCCCTGACCATAAGACGCACCTAGTTTTTAGAGGAGGAGAACAAGAAAAAAATATTCAGAATCAAATGGTTTACTAAACTATTTAATAAACTGTAACAGAATACAGTAATACCGTATTTCAACCTTGTAAAGTGAACAGCAGTCAACAGTGGCATTAAGAACCATCATCACTGTCATTAACAAAAGAGAGACTTTAAAGTTCGAGTACTCTTCTAGTTTTTGTTGAACCCATAGAACTCATCATCACTAG